TTGATATTGAATATATTTCGTAATCGTGTGTGATGCGAAAGCAGGCATTATATAAGACGTGGTTAGGAGATGATATAGATAAAATACGAGAAACATGTTACAAGTAAGTGCCAAGAAAGAAAGAAATGATAAAATGCAATCCTTCATATACATTCCGGTTAACAAACTATTAGTGAATAGGGAACGTAGGGCCCGTCTTATTGTTAACGAAAATAAGTTTTGGGAGACTGTTTACATGGTTGTTCGACTTAGCGCTGCACACATATCATTACTTTCTTACATTCTATGTGGTATAAATGTTTACTATTTACTTACGTTTAGTCAAAGCGTGTGTCCCTGTTATTGTATTTGCCATAGTGTAGGCTACTCGACAGTCTGCAGTATGTGGTTTGATGTACCATCCTAATATTTGTGTTCTTCACTGGGTTGCCGACGGAATCAATGCTGCAAGCAGTGCTTGAAAGCTAGATCCTCTCCTTGTTAGTGGAAAACAAACGGTAGAGAGAAACAGGGCAGGAAGCAATAAAAGCAGACTCGCGGGGGTAATACGGTATACAATGAGAACGAAAAATCGCCGAAGAGAATATCAGATAACTTCCTCAGCCTGCTAAGGAATTATGATTGGGACGATTTAATTCTTTTATGTAAGGCGTTTGAAAAATTATTATTGTGATACATTATCACATCGCTTTACGTTTCACACACTTAAAAATGCTGCAAAATTATGATACCATTCACTGACATTTCAGTTTTAAATTTAAATGTTATTAAATGAGACATTGTTGTATGAATTTGTTAGAAGGAAGCATTAAATTGAAGTACGGATGAACAAAATCTGAAGGATCTGCTACAGCAATGGGATGGGAACTGTGACGCGAATCGCCTCGAAGTGTAGACAGAAGAATTTGACGCGCAGGGGATGAAGGGACTGAGGATGAGGGGTGGGCGGCGGGGACGGCAGGAACTGGGAACTGGAAGAACGGCCTAGGCGGGGGCCGCCAGGGGGACAGAGACGCTGGGCGCGGCGTCAGGCCCGCAGAGAGAGCATCAGCCTGGGCGTCGGCATCGTCTGCTGGCCCGGCGCCTGTATCGATTGACATCTCTCGGAGAGGAGTTCAACAGCGTGTTGTGTGTCGAGAGACAGCTGCGTCGCAGCAGCCGTTTCCGGCGCCCCGAAGGGACTAGGCTGTTTAATGGACTTCTTTTCCACGTTCACAGAATTCTCCGTATGTGTGTCTTTCGTGTTTGATTTGCCGGGAGGCCGTGCCATGTGTCTGTCGAGTTATTGCTCGAAAGAGAGGAATGGAACTGCCAACATTTTCTGTGGTAAAAACGTTATTGTTATTGCTTATGGCGGATAACGAAAAAAAATGAATGTAATGTTCCAGTGGTTATTAATGAGAATCATAATAGCACTGTTTTTATATTGCTCAATGAAAATTAGCAGACTGGTACAGAGAGGACGCATCATGATTTTATTTGTGTGGCTGTACCTTTCCTTTGTTATTATAATTAATTCATTTGTTATTATATTTTCTCATTGTCTATTCATATTAGTTTTAATTTTTAATCGTCTTTGAATTAACGACTCTGAATACTAAATTATTTGTGATTTCTTCGTAGAAAATGTAATTTTGTTATCCCTCGCTAATAAGTAAATTACCGAAATGTGAAGTATGTAATGTGAGAAGGCTTGTAATATCATTAGAATTTTACTCATAAAAAAGTAGTCTATTATATACTTGTTTTAATTTTTTATTCATTGCTAAAATTATTATCAAGTTTTTGATTGACAAACGTCCGTGTATTCATTAAAGTCTCTTACAAAATGACGTATTTTTCACGTAGATGGGATACCGAACGAACGGGAGAGCGAAACTCGCCTGAGAGACAGGAACAGTCCGAGAAGAAATATGACACCTTGTTTGATAAATGAGTTTTCTCCTGCTGGGAATGCTATGAAATGTACGCTGAAAGACCGTGATGTAAAAGAGAAAAATGTGAAGAAATTTGTAATAACGTTTAAATATGTTAGAATTTTTGCATTAGAATCACTAAAAGATATCATATCTAATCTCGCAGTTTTTAAATCTTCAGTTCTAGCATTTTCAAGAAGCATGGAATCTTTGTCTGAACGACTGTATTTCGTTCTACTTAGCATGTAACACCAACAGAGAGAGGGGTTAATTTGAGATCATTGAAGGATCATCTACAAATGGCAAGTTGATAGAACATGTGTGTATTTTCAAGACCGTTCAGACTGGCCTGTTTATGGTATAAAATAATGTCACTCATGTCAGTGGAGCATTATGAATTTTATTTTTTAGTAGGTCTCGTGCGATCTCTTGTAACGTTTCTTCATGGAGTTGTGAAAGAGTGGACGCGTGGGAGAGAAAACGTATGAGATCGGCCGGTTGTGAGGGAGTCTGTGAGCTATCAGGCGGGCAAGAGAAGGTCCAGGCAGGAGAGCGGAGCGGGGGTGAGATAGCGGGCGGGTGAGAGGGCGCGTGCGTGAGTGGCAGAGTGGGTGCGCGAACCTCCCAGCGAAAGGGCGAGTGGGCGAGCGGCTCTCTAGAGGACAGGTGGGGCGGGTGAAACACCGTTGGATGGCCGAATTAATGGACGTGCGGACTCGATGACAAACTCGAGGGTCGAGAGGATGGGTAGACACGCGTGTGGAGTTCGGTGCGGTTAGGCAGGAAGCGGGTGTGTGGGCGGGCCTGTGAGAGAGCGGGGCGAGCGAGCGGGCGGGCGGTTGCTGTTAGCAGCGGAGGCAAGGCAGTCCATTGCGCGAGGTCAGCGCTGGAATGCGCTTCGTTGCGGCTGATGCACGAGCCGCCCATGGAATTCGGGCGAGGAGACCGCCCACGAAACCCCCTTCGACCCGGCGACGCCCAACCCTGTCCCCGCCTTCTTGCTCCTTTTGCAAGGCTTTGTCCAACCACTCTCTCGTAACAGGATAGCGGGGAGAGAACTTGGGTTTTGTTCTTTTTGGACAAGTCTTGCTGTAGTTTCGTGATGACGTCATTATGTTGAGCACACTTTGATCTTTAAAGTTCTGACATTCATCCTTTTTTGTGTTTAATTATCGAAGGTTCCACCTAGTTAAAAAAAATTGGAAATTACTTTTGTTCCGTTGTACTTAACAATTTATTCAGACCCTCTTTGTGCCAATTACTTGCAGCATTTAAGTAAACTAAAAACGAAATCTCTAGATGTAACATGCTAGTAAAGACTCTTCTAATTGCGATAATACAAAAAGACTTGTAAAAAAATATCAAAACATCAAAAACCTTTAACGAACACATATGATATCACCATTCGAATGTCCCTTTTTGAATTACAAAAAATGAGTTTGCTAATTTTTTAACACCGCAGTCAACACCCAAGATCGAGGGTTCCCGTCGGAAATACAAAACACTGCGCAAAAAGGTAAAGCGCGTTAATGAATGGGCCACCCAGGAACTGTACTTAAGTAAGTTTTGAGATATTAATAGATGTTAGGAAACTATAAGTATTTTAGGAACAATTTAATTATTTTTTTAAATTCTTGGAACTATTATTATAATAATTTATGTGATAGTATGATTTTCGCAACTTTTGAATAATAACCATACATTTCAATTTTGCCTTAATTACCAGTTTTGTAGTTTTCTTTTATACTGCTTTTGCGAGATTCCTTATTTTCTCTGGGGCGTTTTCACAACGTGAAATTGCTATTTACAATAAGTGTGTTATTAACTATGTTTTAGTGTGTACATATTGTGTGATGGTTTGCATTTATTTTGTCTTGAGATATTTGTGTTTACTGCAAGTATTGTGATATGAGGAATTTATTTAGGTGAAAGAGAGAGGGGTTTATTCATTCTGGGGTGTTAAATAACAGTGTACATTTTAGAATTAAGATTTCTGTTGCAAATAAACATTTTAAGAAAATTTAGGTATACGTATCATGTATTAGTCAATATATTTTCAAAATAACTTGCAATTATTGTTATTATTATAATAGTTCTTGAATTAAAAAGTACCGTAAGGAAACCAACAAACAATTTATTATCAATGCTTAACTTAATTTATTATTTATGCATCTTTTCTTTATAATTACTATTCAAAATCTGCTGCAAAATAGTATTTTACGCAGCGAATACAGATCGTGAGACTTTGTCTTCCAAAAAAAAAAAATGTAGAAAGAAATTAGTTGTAATTTCGTCCGGAATTTTGAAACTAGTAAGCCAAATGCACTTTTGTATGAGTTGTTTTCATTATTTTTCAGAAAAAATCACAAAAACATGCTAGTATATTATCTTGAAAATATTTCGACACATAAGACGGCAACCATTTTCATTAATGTTGCCCTTCATTTTTTTAACTTTTCGGTACGCCTCCTGTAAATTGCAATCTTCAAAGCAAAAAACAGTAACCGGTGGTTTCCAGGTATAAGGTCTGAAATATTTATGAACGTCATTAGGCCGATATTGATCAATTAACGTGAGCGGTTGATGTTTATTATCGGCGAGGTTTATAAGCCTGTAAGTCAGTTATTTCTCATATCGGCCGTGTCGGCCGTTCCATAATTCTGTATTATCACCTTCTTTTAAGGAAAAAAAAAACAACTACACATTAGTAAGAAATACCTCTTCCAAGAGTAGTTTTACCATAGAGCTATATATTCTTAGCTCCGTGAATGGTATTCAAACGCCATATTTAGCTCTCATTTGTTTCATTACACTTATTTGTTTCGATTTTTATTAATAGACGTCGAAATGTTAAAAACTGTAAATAACGTCGGCCGTTAAGAATATCTTCGTTACTCCTCTGTTTAGTTTCGTTAAATAGATATAAAAGTTCAGAATTACGAAACTGCACTATGACCTCATTTTCAATTTCCATCCGAATACGCATGCCGCCTCTCGCGACCGAAGCGCAAGCGCATGCGATGCACCCTGCGCAAAGCCACGCCCCCTTTCGGCATGCGATGACGCGCGGCGTGTGTGTTCCAGAAGCCCACCGCGCCCTCGAGTTGCTGGAGGACTACCACGAGAAGCTGACGAAGCCCCAGGACAAGCAGCTGCGCCTCGCCATCGAGCGCGTCATCCGCATCTTCAAGTCGCGCCTCTTCCAAGCTCTGCTAGGTGAGTCTTCGCCGCCCGGCCGAATGCATGCGTGAACGAAATTAATTGGGCTAGTGAATTAAATTGGTTTATCGGGGTTTTTGTTATGGACGTTGAGTTTGAAGGAAAGGGGAAATAAAATTTCGTGTGATCGTTGTAAATCAGGGAGTATTTTAAAACATTCAGGTCACTGAATTTCAATGCAACATTTTTGAAGAAGATTTAAGATTTTCAACTAAACAAAGAAACAACTTCCTTTATCATAACACGATACAAATATGATAGTGAATAACGTATTTCATCTAATGACTAATAAAATAGTTTTTCACCATTGTTTGCTAAGTCATTCACTACAAATTTATAACATTACATGAGAATACAGTAGTACCTTGTAAACCCGTATCAACTGGGGCTGGGGCGGATCTGAGTTATCGGAAATGCGGTTTATCCAGAGAAGGAAGAAAAAACAATGAGAAAGGACCTGGGCTTACCAAACATTTGTTTAATGGTGTTTAAAAATTATTTTCAGTACACGGTCACCTAAGAAATCCATTGTAATGTGTATTTACTTTGTATACAATATACGTCGGTACAAAGTAGTCGGTGGCCCTAAGAATGGGCAGGGCATCGCCAGGGCTACTTCCTCCCCTCCCCCTTTCCAATATGCGGACGGTCCACTGCCGAGGCTTGGAGAGGAGGAGAGGGGTGGTTTGTGGGATGAGGATCATGAACTCGACCTCTGGCAGGTGAATTCGAGATATATGCCTACTGAGTACAGCGATTTATCGTCTGTACAACAAAACTTTACTTCGCGAAACAAATTTTTCTCCAAAACTGGTTCAGCTTATACGAACGACCGAGTTGAAGAGGTCTGGGTTAACGAGGTTCTCCTGTATGTGGATGGACCGAAGACCTTTCGGCCAAATGACAACATAGCCTGCAAACCACATTCGACCTATTCTATCGACTCCTTGTATTTATCTCACATTGCCTCTCCATGGCATGAAAACCGAATAGTACGGCGGAGGAAAACAACCCCGAAGGATGAAAAACGTACCCACAGCATACGAATACAATGCAATGTACTAAATTCTGAATGCATGTTAGCAATACTCTTGAAAATCTGCGCGCGGCGTAGAGAGTATGCCTTTGCATTTGTTTGGAATACAGACAACTAAAATAAAACTATACACTTTCAAATAACTTATTTATTGCACTAGATTGTAACTTTTTCAAATCAATTAATTGTTAACAAAATAATCAAAAACAAACAATTTATACTTTTTCTCTCCATTTGACTTTCCCAAAATATTATTGGTTGCTATCTAAAAAACTTGTTTTCAGGAACGTCTTTTTTCATTTTATATTTCCTTCTATATGTTTTTTACCGCACGATTTGTTGTTTATGAAAATGAATTTAGATACGTATTCTCCACAATTTTCATACGTCTCATCACTATCAATATTGCCTCGTGTTATTTATATTTTCTGTTCATATTCACTGTCATGATTGGACATTTGAAGACTGGCTTACATGTCTTAGGGCATCAATTGATGTCACTGCAGTTCCTCTAACCGGGAGATGCGACGATTTGAGTCGCGATGGCGCCAAGATATTCGGCACAACGTTTAAAGTTAGGTTGAATTCATTCGCTCGTTGGAAAATAATTATAGCGGCCGGCTGCTCTGATCGATAGATTTCCGTGGTTTCTCCGAATACCTGCAGGCGAATGCTGGAGCAGTATCCTAACAAACGGGCCACGGTCCGGCGCGTTCTTTCCTTGCTCTACCTACCTCTGTCCTACCCTCATCCCTTATTAAAAAAAACACTTACGCCTTCATGCACTACACTACCACACATGTCTGCAGACCAGTTGGGAGCTTTGGCTTGTCCCAGCTGGGGCGGCGACCTGCTGGTGGGGGATACTATTATGCACTAGAAGAACGGGACTAATGGCAGTAGTTATCGAGCCCGGGATCACTAACCAATCGGATATTTGAATATTTTGTGATTTTCATTTCAACGAGTTACCTCAATCTGTTCTACATCACTTTTTAAAGACCTCGAAATATATCTGCCTTATTTCGGTTTACTTGGTACCTATGTAAAATTACAAAAAGTACATGTTGTTTATACGAATTACAAATGTTATTATATCCCAAAGGAAGTTATTCTCGGAATTCATTTGTTTCCGCTGCTTTTCTTTCCACAAGTTTCCACATTATCATTCGTAATCACTTTTCCATCAAAACACATGTTGAAAACACGATGGTGTTCAATCTTATTTATTCAGCATTATACAACTACCTGACAATCAATACTGCTCTGTGGGTGATAATGTATTTAAGTTTAATAAGTATTATCCACTGTAGCATTATTTCACGTTTTCTAATGACAAGGTAATTCCTAAAATCTGTTTAATTTCCTTCTAATTTCAAGATGTAGCTTCACAAGACGCTGGTTTAATAGTGATAGAAGATAATTAAACATCATTTGATTTATTCTGCATGTTAGTTCTGTAAGAAAAACACTTAATAGTAATAGATTATGTAAGGACACTATGCTACGTGCATTTGCAGTTCACACGGAACGAACATCATTCAAAGTATATTAACTCATGCAAAAACTAATGCACACATGTAATTATGTTTTCTACTTGGTAGTAATTGTAATTGATCTATTTCTTGATTTTTCAAACAATTTACATTAGAATATATTTTTTAGGTATCAGTACTGATTGTGTCAATTCTGACAACCTCTTTTATGCCATCTCTGCCTCTTGTTTTTACCTACCCGCACCGGACACAATTGTTTCATTTCGCACGCCTTATAACAATTTTAGTACACGTCACGTTGGTTTACCTATCCGCTGACTCCCAAATGAATGGATGAGACAATGCCAAACAAATGAATAGTTTATGAAGCAAGCACTCCTCATCTCCGCTGCAAATTGTACATTTCCAGATATATGATCCAGACCAATCTCGGTAATGGCCACGTTGCCAGGTACTCTGTCCGAGAAGAGACTCCTAGTGGATCGAAACTACTTGGACCAACGGCGTGATTTAGGGGACGCGCATGTAACACTGTATGATAATTTGCTAATTTCGCTGTGACCCGGTGAACAGGGAGTGTTATCGAAACATTAGGAGACTACATAAATGCTTTCAATGCGCTCCTTGAATGCAGCAATTTAACAGAAAATTAATTTGAGCATTCAACATTTAATTTACTGGAATACTTCAACCACCTGTTCAAGTGGTCAGAAGAATTAATTTCATTAAATTTGTCATTTGTTGGGACATTCCGTGCTCAATTGTTATTTGAGAGTCACTCAGAAGTCCATTCATTGCACGAGACAATCTAAAGTGAACAATAAATGGCCCATTACTCTGTTTAGAGTGATCCCTTTACATATATGTTTCTATACCTTTGCAAGAAATGGAGATAAAACGTTCCAATATCCGTGCCAAAATTTAAAATTGTATTCAAAACTACTAATATTTTTCGATATCTAACTTTCAAATCATTCGTATTGTGAAAATGTAAATCTAATTTTAAGTAAGTGATGTACTCTGTTGCAATCGTTCTTATAGTTTGCCAACAATAATAAAACAAGGCTGGTGGCAGATATCTGGCTTCCGTTGCCTGACTCTTGCTCTGGAGTCTCATTGTAGTCCCGTGCGTTTGAGATACCGTGCAGAAAGCAATCTCTTACCACATCCGAGTTCACGTCGGCAAAGCGACCACGCTACTTCCTTCATCACACTGAAAATCTACTCCTTCCATGATTTCTGTTGCTGCCAACAAAACTCTCAGATCCGTCTTCACTGCCCGGGGCCAGAGTTTCCACACTGCAGACCCAACTTTCGTCTTGAACGCTGTTTTTTTGTAGCCAATAATTTTATTATTTGTCATCTTCTTTAACATATTTATCAATAGAGGCCGGAAAAATATGTAGTATGAAACGTCAAAATATGTACATAAACATGTAATGGAGACAGTAAGAATAAGTTCTAAATATGTAAAATCGGATATAATACATAATATTAAAATACACCAATTATAACAAATCATTAACCTAATTCATAATTATTTTTATCAAAAGTTTCCCAAACAAATTTTACAAATAATACAAACGTTTTAAAGATTATGTAGTGAGCACAAGTTATTGCTCATTTTGTACCTCAAACTTTTCCTTCAGTAATAAAAGCTTCATCAAATGCTATCCAGGACCGTAGTGTAGCAGCTATGCTACACTTAATAGGAGCCCTTGTACAAATTGACGATATCTACGACCATCAATCAATAACTGCAGCGTGCAGCATTCTCATCAAATTGTTACATGTCAGCGATCGCCAAAGTTTCTCTGAAATTAAGTATAAAGGTTACGAAACGCGGTTCCAGTCATACTTAAGGTGAAAATGATGTCAGTCGCTGACACAGCTGAAGCAGGCGCCCCGGACTGTAAAAACATCCGACCGCGTCTTAACGAAGCGCATCTCGATTTGACAGCAGTCAGTAATAATGAAGGAAAAAATTCTGATTTTGTAAAAATACTTCTTTTCATAAAAATGTTGTAATAAAATTGAAGAAAATTTATAGATTAAAAATATTTAGTAAAATCAAAACAAAATATGTAAAATATGTAATATAGTGCTAAATATGTGAAAATATGTGACGAAAAATTGAATTTGTGTTGGGATCGCCATGATTTCAGTTTTGAGAGCGGTAAGTAGAAAGACAAAAATTTTGCAATTACATAAAAATCCGGTCTTTATTGATAAATAGCAACTTTACATTGCATTTTAAAAATCAATGAAGTTGTGCCTATTTATTAACACGAGTTTCTTTTTATTATTCGCTGACATCCATATGACGAAGGCCAATATATCAAAAACGGCTCTCCAAATATTTTTGCTTGAAAAATGACCAGAAAATATAAATAAAACAACGAGAAACCAATTTTTCTTATCCATCGTAGACATCTATCCTGGTAGAACGAGGAGGAACTTTATTTTTCGATTTTGTCCAAATTTGCTCTTCGTTTCG